AATAATAATAATAATAATAATAATAATAATAATAATAATAATAATAATAATAATAATAATAATAATAATAATAATAATAATAATAATAATAATAATTCATATAAATATAAAAAGATAAGGATAACATAGAAAAGCAAATAAAAGGAGTATGTACAAATAAGAGATGATAATTCGGGTACAGTCAGAAGATGAATCATCAAATGAAACAAATGACGAGATAAGTCAATTAGGTCTTTACACATAATCGTCGAAAATCATTGAACGACACCATTCATTCCCTTAATATAGAAGGCACTTGCGTAGTAAGTGTAAAAAATGATAAAATTCATATAGTTTAATATTAAACTATTTAAAAATGAAGGAAAAAAAAGGTAAATTGAACTAAATTAAAACATTGATTTTTAACAGTAAGTTTTCCATATAAAGATGTAGCTTAATAAGGAATCAGAAAAAAAACTTCGAACAGAAATTAAAAAATATGAATAAAATGGGAAGAAAAAAGAAGGAAAAGTGACGGATAAAGTTTTCATAGATCAGTTAAAATTTTTAACAGTAGGTTTTTCCATACATTAATAATATCTGTAGATAATCTATACAATGAATAATTGGGTAAATTAAAATAATTAGGTATCTAATATCTCAGAAATAGAAAAAGAAAATAAGATTATACGACAAGGTAGGATAACAGCTTCATGATTGGTGGATAAATTTTCGTGTTGAACTAATCATCTAATTTGTTTGGCAAAATCGATTCTATGCCAAACATATTTTTTCTCTATTTGATTTAATTTTGATGATGATAATAAAGTTCTCATAGATTGCTTGAAATTTTTAAGATTATGTTCTCTCTAAGCTAATAACATCTGTGGATAATAATATCTATATAATAATAAGATAAATGTTGAAGGTTTGATTTCATTGATAAAATTATGATATAAACTAATACCCATAATGAAACACAATATTATGAGAGTATTTTTAATAAAAGAAAGTGGGAGAGAAATAGGACTAAAAGGGAAGTAGAACTAAATGACTAAGTGAATATATGAAGAGGCAAATTAAATAGGATAAATGATACAACTCATTTTAAATCAAAGGTAAACTTTATAAATAATTCGTGTAGATGGACATTTGAGGAAGTAATTTCGACGTAAAATAAATTAAAGATTTAAATACTTTAAATTTAGGTAATTCGGAATGATAATGCAATTTTGAAATACATAAATATTTGCATAATGAACCTTTCAAATTCTTTATGCATCAGCGAACAAATGCATAAAGCACTCTAATAAAACCATAGAATAAGAAAAAGCTGAATTCTTTACTTCTTGCCGTTTTTCCCCTTTTTTTTTCACATATCTGACATGAACTAATCAGTTATAATTCGCTTGAAAAAAGAGAAGTAATTACTAATTCATAAATCTAGAAATCTTTTCTAATTAAAAGGAAAAAAATCTTCCTACATTTTAGGGAAAAAAATGTTTTTAAATTTCGAATTATATAATTGGAAAAGAATTTCGAACTCGAAATTTAATTCGAAATTGCATAAAAAAGGAATTCCAATTGATCCTTATCACGAATATGCTTATGATTACAAAAATTCTACTACTTCACGTGAATTAGTAGCTATCATTATTATCATTGCTTGTGTGGGTGTATGTGCGTCTGTGCATCTGTGCATGTGTGTGTGCGTGTGTGTGGGTGTGTATGTGTGTGTGAGTGCACTTATGTGTGTGTGTACGTATATGTATGTATGTGAAAGGGATTACAGGTAGCAGATGAAGATCTTTCAAACTGGATTGCATTTTCATTAAAGGATAATAACTGACAACATGTTAACTGATGGTATTACATAAAATGATAAGAGAAAATTCAGTGATATTTCAAGAAAGTGAACTTTATTCCAAACAAAGGAACAAAGAACTATTAAAGAGAGAAAAGAAAAAGAAGACATGATAAAATTTTAAGATTTAATATTTGATTAGTTAATTATGATGATTATTAGAGTTATATCGAAATACTGACCAGTGGTGTTAGATATAATAAGTAAGCTTTCAAACTTCAGATATTACAAATAGTAAATTAACTTTTAAATTTATAAATTATATAGCAAATAAAATGTACCTTGTTTAATCGTAATAATGTTTCTTTCAAAATTTAACCATTTTCAAAAATTGTTATAATTTCCATCTGAGCGACTATTGTCGGGTCAAACTCCTTAAAAAAGAAGCAATGCCTAGTGCTATAAATATATGATTTCAAGTATTCTATAAATATTTCGAATTTAACTAATGGTTGATAATAAATGTTAATAATAGTATTAAAGTGGAGGAAAAAAATGATTTCGAATTGTTGGTATTCAAGTATCAATTCCCGAAAAAAACAATATATTAAAAGTTAATACATATTCAAAATCAGCTTTCTTATAATGTATTTTCAACATGATTGAGATGATCACGCCTGAAATGATTTAACGATAAGGTGATCTATCATTTAGAAATTAATTTGATTTATAAAAAATTCAAATTTATATATCTAACATTTCAATCTAACAATTTATATTTAACCTTTCATTTAACGTTACGTTATACGTTCGAGTGCAATTAATTATTTCTATTGTATTATAGTACAAATACTTGTTACAGTAATTCATAATTATACTAAAAAAAAAAAAAATCCTCCATAATTGATCGTTATTCGTATAAAACAAAAAATGATAAAAACGCAAATCTAGTTTTTATTCATTTAAACATTACTATCGATTAAAATCAAACAGAAATAATGGGACGTTATGGAAATCGTTCAAAATATAGCCGAAACAAAGAGCTATGTGGCAAACGATATTTCATGTTTACCGAGTATTGTAAGAAAATTACTAGAACGGGCTTTTTTTTCCTAAGTTTTGGAAAAAGAATAGAAATTTTAAATTAAAAAAATAAAGTAATTAATTGGAGCAATAATCAATCATCCTTCCGACATTAAGCGGTTCGTTTAAAGGAAATTTGACAAAAAAAAGAAAAAAAAAACACGACATTTTATTGCCTACATAAAACAATATATATTATGATACACAGCAAAATCACAGGAAAGGATTTGGGCGAGATCCATACGGAGGGAAAAGTTTGCCCTTTTCTCTCAATTGATCATACGCTAGCTGAATGTGATGTGGCTTCAACGGCTCACTCTCCTCGCCCATTCGTTCGCGAATGTCTAGTGCTAAAATAATACATTACTACTCTAGCTTTAGAAAATTAGAATATACATAGACATGCATAGATAGGCAGATAGACAAAAGCCATGAAATTCAACTATATTTAGCAGAATTCACGAATAACTAAGCATTATCAAAATAATGGAATAAATATTAAAAAAAAAAAAGAGAGACAAGAGAACCTTCTTCGACAAGTTCTCCAGCAAATACTTTGGCAAGTCCCGCGACGGCTATTATGACATTATGTCCAGGCGTAACACCCGTCGCCTGTTGAATGAGCTAAACAAAACCTTTTCCTTAATTATGAGAGTGATCAAAGAAATTCTGGAAAATTCTAAAGTTCATTCATTTCTTTCCCAGAATTTTAGAACAGAATTAGGTTTTTTCTTCATATAGCTAATAAAATTTCCTGGTAAAACAATTTCCTGAGAAGTCTCTGTCATAAGAAAAATAAAAAATGCGAGCATAAAAGTTGAATTAACTTTTAAAAAAAGATACTTTTCGAACTGCACTTTTTGGGAAAGATGAACGTCGGAAGCATTCGTAACGGGCCAGCTGTTCAGCCGAAAAATTAGCTACCAATATCCTACAAATAATGGAAGATGAAAGAATAATTACTACAACATATCGGAAAAAGGGATAGTTCGAATGAAGGTAATTCTGTTATTGTCTTTTGTTCCCTTTGGAAAATGGTTTACTTGGACTTTTTCTTTATACTTATCTAACTCGAAGTATGCGGCAACATAATGAATAAAGCTTTTATCAGTAATAATTACTGCATTTTTTGGCGCAAGATTTCATCCTGCCTGCTTAATTTTTTCGGTTGCAAAGCAGTTTCACTTTGTTCGTCGTCGGAATTTTGGATTTCCGGAAAATCCCGTCTGCTGGGTCCTGCTTCCTGTAATTTTTTATTCACAATATATAGCGCAGCATCACTGCCAGGATCCAAATAATGTGAAGATGCAACTATGGTCACTTTTCTATTGCCCTTTCCTTCATTTTCTACAGTACACTTCTGCATCCTCGCTGTATACTATGTGTAAAGATAAAAATGCAGTCAGTTTAACTGAAGATCTTAATGATTTCAAAAATCAATAACTAGACTACCTCGAAATGTAATTACGAAGTACTTACTGCTGCTTCCCTGATGCGTGGTTTTTCATTATCCTTGACATTTTCTGCAAAGTGAACATTCAATTTATTCTTTGAGTTTGCAGCAGAAGAAGATGCTAAGGATGATTTCCTCGAAACAGCATCTACCGCAGAGAAGTCTGCAGGATCCAGCTGAAATCTTAAAATGTAAACAGTACTACCGAATACCTTTGATAACGACTTTATTATTTGCTTTTGATCTAACAAAACTCGACTTATTACTCTTGTCAATCCTTTAACATTTCCCTATCCCCCACGAGTAATTGATATAATTCATACTAAACCAAAGAGCGGATCGTCCAGTAATTCGATGGCATGAACGGATAGCTCTGTCCTGTTAGTTTTGACCGGTACACCATCTGTACCAATATCTTTGTCAGGTTTTCGTTTCAAATTCGATGATTGCTGAAATCTTTACATGATAATGAAGAAAGAAGTCAGACCTAATTAGTTTATGCGATAGACAAACGTTAAATGAAGAGACAGATCAGCCAATTTTTCGGAAGACTTAATAATTTCACCGATTTAGTAAATCCCATGCAATGTTAATAACGACTTTTTCAGAATATTCCAGTCAAAAACCTAAAAAGAAGTAATCAACGTATAAATCATTGAGATTACCGAACTAAACGTACTGTACAAAAGAATGTTATCATAAATGATATTGATCTTGTCTAGAATGAAGATGTGAGATAAATATTAATTATTTATTATATATCCACAAATAGATAACCAGTGAGCAAACAGATTAAAAAAAAGGCTGAAACTAACCACTTTCACTTCTGATGCCGATGCCTCATTACTTGATGATTTTTCGGTGCAACTCTCTTCAGCAGTCTCAGGCTTTTTTTCCTCATCGTTATCATCGCTATCACTTAATTCACCCAAGAGATCAGCAACATCTGTCCAATCAGCCATTCCTAGAAATTCTCACTTAATGGCATCACTTGTCCATTAATTAACACCAATTTCAATAGCAAAAAAAAGAAAAAAATATACATCTCTAGTGATTAAATTACAAACTCAAAATTTATTTAGCGTAGCTTCTTCATAACTACTTTACTCATGCCTTTATATCCGATCTTCAGAGGCACTCATGAAACAGCTTACTAATGCCATATGCTTACCGTTACCGGTAATTCAAAAAATTGGAATGAAAAATAATTCGAGAAGTTCAATTAAAATAAATTCTATCTAGTTCTTTGTCGATTTCGACATTAATTAAGGAGAATAAACGTTTTTATGGTTTTGTAGTTTATAATTTTGTTAAACGATTCAACATCAATTCCAAAAACTCACTTTCTCAATCCAAAATTAATTTGATTTAGTAGCTACGAAAGTAAGTTTTCGGATTAAAATCTAAAAAACTTTCTCTAAATCTGCCAAATAAAATGAAATGAACAATCGACGCAAAGAAAGACAATAAAACAAAATCGCACTTCAACACCAAACCTACAAAAAATTGGCGACTTAAGCTCGTAGCGAAATTCACAAGGCTCTTGAATGCAAACTGTTAATTATCTCATGTTTTTTTTTTTGATTTATAGTTGTGATAAGTGGTAGCATAACATTTTGGTTGGAGGGGCGACAAAGGGAGGGCATAAAAGAAAAGATATTTTAATTAGGATGGCATAAAATTGATTAGCAGGTAGTCGTGAAATTTTAGCTTATTAAGAATACCATAAAATTGATCCACAAGTAGTTATGAAATTTTGGTTTAATTAAAGTGGCATAAAGTTAATCTATAAGTAGTTAGGAAATTTTACTTTAATTGGGGTGACGTAAAGTTAGTCCACAAGTGGTTGTGAAATTTAATGTTTCAATTAAACAGTTTTATGAACAAATGTTCATGTGCTCATTTTTAATATTTCTAAATGTTAATTTTAAAAACTGTATTTTGCAATACTTTATACGATTTAAAATTTCCGTGAATAATGAAGTGCTATTGCGATAATATTACCAATTTATTCGAAATTCGAAAGGATGCCCGTTTATTCATTGTAATAGAATAATTGATTCAAAATTGAATCGGTTTGAAAAAGATTTCAATTAAATCTTAGTAAAGAATAGAATTAAATATAGTTACAATTTTTATGGGAAAGTCTATATCTCTTTCATTTTCTCATTCTTTGCTGTGTGGTTTTAATTTAT